AGTCAGTAATGAATGAATCTCAATATAACATATGGGTTTTATGTTATAAATCAGATTGATACGAGTTAAACGGATGTCTAAAGATGTATAAGAATTTCAAATTAAATTTTATACGCATACAATTGAGAAAAATTTGAAGATTACTTTCCAAGCCCAATTTGAAGACGAGAGATGTATACGAAGAATATGACCTAATTTGTATAACATCTAACTAACTAAACGTGGGAAGAAAGAGGAAAGTGGGAATGATTAAGACTTAGCAACCCAAATAACGAAGAAGAGATCCGACCAACAACGAATGGTAGGTTTAATTTAAAGTTTTACCTCGTTGAAATTAAATAATTAGTTGATTTATAATATTTGATTCAGTGATATCAAAAATTTACTTTATTAATAACGTCGATGAGATTACAGTAATCAAGTTGAGTTAAATTTTAACACGTATATTATGTTTTTTTGGTGAAAAAAATATTAACTTTTTTTTTTTTAAATTTGAATAGTTAAATAAAAAATTTAATTAAAATTAAATATAAAAATAAAACTGTATGACTGCAGACTGTAGACTGGATTGTATAAGAGGGTGGATATTAGACTAGGTTGCTTGATGTGTTAATTTTATGGCCTCCATAAAAGACCCTGAATATGCCAAAAAAGGGGTCAGCCCTAGAAGACTTCATCTATCAATACACAATTGATAATGTGTGTGTGTGTATATAAATATATATATATATATATATACATATATTATATGGATGCATTCACCTTCCATTCGGTTCATTGGATGTATATTTTATGTGGGTATTAGATATATGTTGACATTCCATATACAATGGTGATTATCTTATAGGAAATATTATAACTAGATCTTTTTCAAATATATTCAAGTCTCACTTAATTTTTTTTTTTTAATTTATAAAAACCCTTTTAGTATTTTAAACAAAATAATTAATAAAAAAAATTGGATTGTAATAAAAACTAAACTAATAAAAATACCCTTTAACAAAAAATTTGGTATTTTCCAAAATTATTATCACAATTTTTGAAAAAAAAAAAAAAGAAATTGGATTATAGTAAAGAAAAGTTTATAGGTTTGATAGATTAGCAATGAATTCAAAATGAACACCCACATAAAATCTTTATATTATATAGCTTTTGCCCACTTTGACAGTTTATATATCCATTACATACATTCCAAATTTCCCATTAGGATGATTGTGACATGGTTTCCTTTCAAATTTGAGAAAAAAGAAGAAATAAATGGTGGGAGCAAGTTGATAGCTCAATTGGGCATCTCTCATCTTCCATTGCCATCTTGATGAATGATGCAAATATGGGTTTTGTATGTATTGGCAACATCTTTGCCAGAGAAGTAGCCATCACTTTTGATTTCTCCCTTCTAGAAAGATAAATCTACATATATATATATATATATATGAATGTAATGAATCCAATGTATATACACACATATTCTCCTATTCAATGTTTTAAATTTAAGATATTTTTATATAAGACATGGGAAATTTTGGTACTTCAAATCCAAAAATCTGTATTTTTTTTTAAAAATATAGTGAATACCTATATATACACATATACTCTACTAAAAACTATATTATTTAGGAGTTTAAGAATATGTATATCCTCCTATATTGGTGTGCCACTAGTAAGTATTAAACTTAAAATTATTTAAGATAAAGAGTATACCTTTTTGCTAATTAAATTATTAGTTTTTATTTTTTGGATTCCTTTTCTTTTTCTTGTTAAAGAAAAGGAGCATATATATACAAGTGTTACAGGAATCAAGAAAAAAAGAAAAAAGAATTTCTTCCTGTGTAGAAATACATTAAAGAAATTAATTCTACACCACTTACTATACAGAAATACAATATATTTATATATGATTCGGAAAAATCTCCCCCTAATAACATAGTTACACGATAACTTAAAAGAAAATAGAATCATACGAGGACAATTAAATTAAATGTAGCAGCAATAAATTACACCTCTGAGAACATGGTAATCAAATAAAGTTGAATCAAACAGAGGTTATTCTGCTAAAGGAGACTATTTTCAGTAGAAAAATCAGAGTAGAACACTTACATCCCTTTGTCTTCAACTACATGACTCAATTTTAACCAAAATGAGAAAACAAGAAGATAAGAATACAGATATTGAACTCCTATATACACCACATGGAGATGGTTAGGTTCCAGACAAGCACCAATTCTCTTTCTTGTTAAAATCCAAATGCCTCAACCAAGAAGGTAAATTTAAGTTATTCAATGTTCAGGAGGAGAAAATCAATCCTATAGAAGGATATAAGCCATATCATTATCTGTCAACTGAATTGTGCATACAGTCAGTTGTTGTGGTCATATATGTGATATTACGCACCTGTCTTTCCATGAAAACTCCATTCACTCCCTTCCATTATTACGTCAACGGCTTTGGAGCTCAGATTTCCATCATTGATATAATTCAATAGTCTTTCATAAACATCTACCGAGAGAATACCTCGTTCCCTAGTCAATCTCAGAAAAGCTGTTGCTTCTTCTAAATCTTCTCGACTTTTTAGATAGTCTAGACAGGCAGCCAGAGTAAAAGGACTTGATCTTCGTTCTGGTTGACTTGCTAGTAGTGCTTTCTTCATTGTCTCCACTGCCTTATCCATCTTATTCTCAAGTTTATATCCAGTTGCAAGACATTCCCATGTGTCAGCATTTAGCACCTTTCCATTCTCCGCAAGCTTGTTTACATATTCTTCCGCCTTTTCCAGCAAACCCTTCTTACAATAACCACGGATCATTGTGTTTCGGATACGGGCATCAGAGAATTTGTGCCTAGATTCCCACTCTTCCAAGATCTTTTCAGCACCAGGAATGTCATCCAACTTCAACAATGAACTTATCATACACAAGTAGCCAGAATTATAGGTTTTCTTCATATTCTTATACAAATTCCAGATGCGATACACTTCTTCTCTTTTCCCAGCAGCAGCATATGAAGTGAGGAGAATTTCATAGGCAAGTTTTCCTTTTTTGCCACTGATTATTTGCTCTAATCTCTTCAACATAATCAAAGCCTTTTCAGTTAATCCAGCTTTCATGTACCCATTTGCCACAGTACCATAAGCGTTCCAACCAACGACCACGTTAGGATCAGCTTCCATCTTTGTAAGAAGATTCTCCATCCCCTCTACATTAGAAGCACCAATATGTGCATTCAACATGATATTGAGTGTAAACCGATCACAAGAGATATCCTTTTCTTCCATTTCTTGCATTAACAAACGCAATTTCTCCTGCTCCCCGAGCTGAGAATAGAGGTTTAGCATTACGTTATAAGGAAGTGGTGACTTTGTAAAATCAAGCTCCCTCATCTTTTGCATGATGGCTTCGGCTTTTTCCAATGACTTCTTCTTTGCATAGCAGTTTAAAAGAGAACCATAAACCTTATAGTGTTTCAAATCACTAGGGATGGCATTAAAATATTCCTCTGCCTGCTCTATACCATAAACTTTTGAGATCAAATCGAGCTTTACAGCAGCATCACCATGTGACAGGGAATGACTCGCTTGATTTTCCATCCATTCTGATATCTACCATTAAAAATTGAGGGAGACAACATGAAACTAAACCATAAAAATCACAAATTCATATTCAACTCCATCAACTTCCTTTGTTTAGAAAAAGAAAGGTTCTTTTCTCAAAAATAACATAATGGAACTCCCAAAGAAACTAGACAGCTTAATCAAGGGAGTTCATAATCTGTTGGGAGTTTATTGGAAAGGCTAGGTAGGATAAGTAGCTTAAAACATGAACCAGAACAGGATAAAATAATAGATATTCCAGGAGCAAATGAACCAGAGCAAAAAAAGTTAAAAACTTTGCAAATACAATTTATTCCTTTTAAATCTTTTCCAAAAATTATAAAATAAATTCAGGATATTTCATATATAACATCTAATAGTTTCTTTTTTCCAAAAAAAAAAGATCTCAATTTTGATGTCAACCCAAAAAATCAATTGGTTTACAAATCGGCTAAAATAGAAAATGGTCTTCTTCTGCTACTTATTTTCCAACATAAGGTTTTACTTTCTCGTCCTACATTCACTCTTCATCAACGAGATAACCCTTTATTTTCTTCTCCTTATCTGTCCATTTTTGACAAAAACAATTCTTCAAAGCAAGTAACGAAAACCCACTTCCACTTCTCCATAACAACTTAATCAATTGACAACTAACGGACAATCCAGTCTACAGACATATGCATATATTTCCATTGTATAACTACATGCATCCATGTGTATGTATAGGTGTAGATATAGGGGAAAATGGTACCTCAAGGGCGTGTTTGGGACGATTAAATTTCCGGAGAATCTTGATAAAACTTCGGAGCTCCGACTGTTCGACATCTTTTCCTTGTTCCAGCCACTGATCAAGCACCGGAGAGATCGAGGCCGTCGGATATTCGACGCTAGAAATCCTACGGTAGAGAGAGCTGCTTAGAGCAGGTGAAGAGGCGGCTAGCGTTCCGGTGGAGTAGAACGAAGAAATGAAAGTGGAGACGCGGCAAATCCCACTGTTAGTGTTGTTAATCTGCCATGGAGTCCATCGAAGAAGTAGCTTCTTCATCGAGACGATTATAGTTGGACGAGCCGTCGGAAGGGGAGGAAGGAAGCTGTGTTGAACTGTTGGGGTTTGGGGAGGTTCCCGACTGTCACTGTACAGAGCTTAAGAGGGTTTTTGGTATAATTTTTTTTTTCCAAACCGAAAAAATAAATAATTAATATAAAATAAATAATTATTATAATTTCATCGTTAATAAACTAATTTCTTTTAATTTATTTATTCAATATTTTTAAGCTAAGTAATTGATAATTTGATATATTTTTATGAAATTATAACTTGAGTAAAATTATAATTTTTTTATATATTATCGTTAGAAAATTACGTTATTATTAAAGTAAAAATACTACAAATTTATTAAAATGTATAATTTTTACTTTTTTAAAAAAACTAATTTATTTAAGAGTATGTTAGAATAATAATTTTATAATT